GGATAAAGAAAATGTGGTACATAGGCACCACGGAATATTATTCAGCCACAAAAAAGAACGAGGTCAGCAGGGAGCAGTGGCTCACGCCTGTAATCCCAGTACTTTGGGAGGCCAAGGCAGGTGGATCACCTGAGGTCAAGAGTTCAAGACCGGGCCGGGCGCGGTGGCTCAAGCCTGTAATCCCAGCGCTTTGGGAGGCCGAGACGGGCGGATCACGAGGTCAGGAGATCAAGACCATCCTGGCTAACCTGGTGAAACCCCATCTCTACTAAAAAATACAACAACAACAACAAAAAATTAGCCAGGCGAGGTGGCGGGCGCCTGTAGTCCCAGCTACTCGGGAGGCTGAGGCAGGAGAATGGCGTAAACCCGGGAGGCGGAGCTTGCAGTGAGCTGAGATCCGGCCACTGCACTCCAGCCTGGGCGACAGAGCGAGACTCCGTCTCAAAAAAAAAAAAAAAAAAAAAAAAAAAGAGTTCAAGACCAGCCTGACCAACATGGTGAAAACCCGTCTCTACTAAAAATACAAAATTAGCTGGGCATGGTGGTGTATGCCTGTAATCCCAGCTACTTGGAAGGCTGAGACAGGAGAATCACTTGAATCCGGGAAGTGGAGGTTGCAGTGAGCCAAGATCGCACCATTGCACTCCAGCCTGGGCAACAAGCGTGAAACTCCATCTCAAAAAAAAAAATGAGATCATGTCCTTTGCATGAACATGGATGGAGCTGGAGGCCATTATCCTTAGCAAACTAACGCAGGAACAGAAAACCAAATGCCGCATGCTCTTACTTGTAAGTGGGAGCTAAATAACGAGAACACATAGACACACAGAGGGGAACAACAGACACTGAGGCCTACCAGATGGTGAAGGGTAAGAGGAGGGAGAGGATCAGGAAGAATAACTAATGTACTAGGCTTAATACTTGGGTGACAAAATAATCTGTACAACGAACCCCCATGACACAAGTTCACCTGTGTAACAAGCCTGCACTTGTACCCCTGAACCTTAAAGGTTTTTAAAAAAGAAATACATGGTCAGGCGCTGTGGTTCATGCCTGTAATCCCAGCACTTTGGGAGGCTGAGGTGGGTGGATCACCTGAGGTCAGGAGTTCAAGATCAGCCTGGCCAACATGGCAAAAACCCGTCTCTACTAAAAATACAAAAGGTAGCCGGGCATGGTGGTGTGTGCCTTTAATTCCAGCTACTGGGGAGGGTGAGGCAGGAGAATTGCTTGAACCCGGGAGGCAGAGGTTGCAGTGATTCAAGATGACACCACTGCACTCCAGCCTGGGTGACAGAGCCAGACTCTGTCTCAAAAACAAACAAACAAAACACCATTTACTCCTGCCTTCTGAACCAATGATTCTATTTTTAAAAACATAAATCCTGCTGGACAGTGGCTCATGCCTGTAATCCCAACGGTTTGGGAGGCCAAGATGGGAGGATCGCTTGAGCCCAGGAGTTTGGGACTGGCCTGGGAAACATAGGGAGACCCTGTCTCTACAAAAAAAAAAAAAAAATTAATTAGCCGCTCATGGTGGCAAGCACCTGTAGTCCCAGCTACTCAGTAGGCTGAGGTAGGAGGACTGCTTGAGCCCCAGAGGAAGGTCAAGGCTGCAGTGAGCCATGATCATGCCACTGCACTCCAGCCTGGGGAACAGAGACCCTGTCTCAAAAAGAAAAAAAAATAACAGGCCAGGCACAGTGGCTCACACTTGTAATCCCAGCATTTTAGGAAGTCAAGACAGAAGGATCCCTTAAGGCCAGGAGTTCAAGACCAGCCTGGGCAACACAGAAGATCCCATCTCCATAAAAGTAAAAAAATCACACACACATCAAAAAAAGAAATCCAAAGGAAATAACCCTAAATATAACAACTCTTAAAACCTTTTTTGTGGTGTTATTTACCTCAAGGGGAAGAAAAACTTTAATTTCAAACCGAAGGAGAATTCATTACATTGTGGTTCATCTGAATCTGCAATATTGCGTGGCCATTTAAAAACACATCGAACAACACAGGAATGATCTTCTATCATGTAAGAGGGAAGGAGTGACCAGGAGTTGCACATAGCGAATCCTCACCACCGTTTGAAATCATCTGACAATCCACCACAAATAACCAGGGAGCGAGTGGGCAATCTGGGGGGGCCTGGCTGTCCTCAGGGGACACCTCTCCAGTGGAGACATGGCAAGTGGCATCGTGGCAGTCTGGAGGGACCAGGACGATCCCGAGGGAAATGAGATGGGGCAGCCGGGAGGGGAGGCAGAGGACTGCTGCTCCCACTGGCCCTACGCATCACTCACTTGGAAACCTGGGTGAGAAGACCTGGGGGCCTTGCTGCCCAGCTGACAGGGACAGATGAGCACTCCTGTGATGTTGGAACGATGCCGGAGCGGCACCCTCCTCCTCCATTAGTGGGGTGTAGGGGCCTTTCGGAGAGCGTTTGACCATGTCTATTTCAACATTTCAAATGCACACAGCCTTTGACCCGAGGACCCCCGTGTGGGATATCCTACACAAAGAGACAGGGTGCCTGCGCAGGCCACCCAAGGCAGCAGCGTCTGTGGTCACTGAGAACTGGGAACAGTGCTGCCTGCCTGCGGCCCCCACAGGAGGAGCCCAGGGTTCAAGTGTGCCAGGGAGAGCTGCAGATGAGGACTGATGGGGAATGACAGTGAAATGGATGGTTAAGGGGCAAAAGTCAAGTTGCGGAACAGCACAGTCCTGTGTAGGTGGACCAAAAATATACACAGACACACAGATCTCCATCAAAGTTCCAGAGAAAACCCAAGGAAACATGGATTGTGGCTGCCTTTGGGGAGGGGGGCCAGAGGCGTGGCCCTTAAACCTTGCATCCTCCACGGCGTTTATAAGTTTACCATGAGCACGTGTTGTTGAATCTGTAAGAAAAGCAGGTTTTTACTCATCCTGTTTTGAATACAGACACTGAGGAAGTCTTGGCAACATGCAAACATTGCTGGTGGTGGTTCTCTTGTTTATAAACTTCTCCTTGTATGCAGGAACTCAGTGCTGATTTTCCCAACCCCAGTCCCGCTGAGGGCTGGTCCTGAATGCAGCGTCCCACAGCCCCAGGTACGTTCCCAAGCACATGCTGAGGCCCAGAGCATCAAGGGTGCACCACACGCTGTGTGTGGCCTTGCCCTGGCCCCTCCCCACTGCCAGCCTGGGCCACACTGAGCCTGCCCCACACCCTGTGGCGGGGGCTCCAAGGCCCTCTGTGGAAGGCCTGCTGGCCTCAGGTTGAGGCTCCTCCCAAGACCTGTGTCCAGCAAGACCTGGGTTTGCCAAGGTGACCCAAGGGCAGGGGCTCTGGCCATGGTCATGGAGACCCTGCCCTGACTCAGCCCCTGACAAGGGTCCCTCTGGGGACTGCACAGCCTGGGCAAGGGTTGAGGGTCTGCCCCTCTCCTGCCAGGGGACACCCCAGCACTCTGTCCAGCCCTGAGGTCCGGCCCAGGGTGATTCCTTCTTGGAGAGGAGGACGGCAACGCAGCCCAGGGCACGCAGCCTGTGGTGGTCTGCACGCACCAAACAGATTAAGGGCCCTTTTGCAGCCACAGTGCCTGGGCCTCACAAGTGCTGGGAACGGGACCCTGCATGTGGCGCAGTGCCATAAGCGCAGGTCTGCCCAGCTAACGCCCTGTGGTGAGCGTGGGGCTCAGTGGCTGCTGATGGAGACTCAGAACCCGGGGCCTCGCACAGCATGGCCCCCAGGTGCCAGGTTCCCCAGCCACACTGTCCCCGTGCCTCCTGGTGAGGTGCTCTCCTCCCAGTTCCCTGCGAGGAGCCCCTGCCTGTTGCCGGAGACTGAAGGTGTGGGGATGCTGCCATGGATTCCCCTCTTTTCTTCCAGACACGCTCGCTCTCAGGCTTGTCCACGGAGCTCGGAGCAGGGCCTGGGGCCTGGTTGCGGAGAGCACCTCCTGCACGCTGAGCCTGCTCAGAGTGCACATCTGAGGGTGGTGGCCGGCGCTTGGGAAGGACTCAGGGAGCGACCAGCCCAGTGCAGGTGCTGGTGTGTCCCCTTGGTGAGTGGCAGAGCTGGCCTCCCGGGCATGGCTCGCGCTTGCAGACGGCAGCGTTCACAGGCACTGGCGAGGCTGCCTGCTCCATCGTCCAGGACCAGGCAGGCTGACCACGTCCTTTCCCGGCCCAGCCGGGTGGGAAGCTGAGGTTGGCCATGGGAGTCCCAGGAAATGCTGGGTCCTCTGTCCTCTGCCCACCATCCCAATGAAGAGTCAAGGGCACAACTGTCAGCCACACCCCAAATCACACGCAGAAACGGGGAATGTTTTCCCAAAACTTTTAGAATAAAGCCTACTACTTTGCAGAAAGTGATCAAACCCTATATATATATTTTTCAATAAGCCACAGAAGGTTGGAGTCAATACTATGTGGTGAGTGGATCATGGCCGCACACTCCCACCCCCCAGGGACAGGTGCCCACTCGTCCCCACCCGCTCCCCTGGCCCACTCTGGGGCCTCCCTGGGGTGGGACCTTCCTACCACAGGGCTGGCCTAGCTAGCTCTGGCCGGGGATGTGAGTGGATGGGACACAGCACCCATGGGACTCGTGTGGCTGGTCTGACATCCCGCTCGCCCCTGACCCAGGAGGAGGAGACACACGCAGCAGAGCAAACTGCCAGCCAGGCCCAGCCTGGAAGAGCTGCCTGGGGCCCTGGAGGCCCACAAGCCTGCACGCCACCTGCTCTACCCCTACGGCGGCACTTCCATGACTGCAGCTGACCACTCCCACTTCACCGGAGTGGGCCTGGAGGGGAGGGGCCTCACCTGAGGGCAACAGCAGACCCCACCACCTGGTCTTGCTTTACTCAGACCTGAGGGTGTGAAAGGTGCCCGTGACCTCCCGCATCAGGGAGCTGCCTGCCCCCCTCAACTCCCGGGGAGCAGATATCCGACGACCCCCCATCCACCAGGCTGGACCCTTGGGCCACGTGAGCCAGGTGGTGCCTTACCTCCACTCCCGGGGGAGCCGGCCTCGGGGTAGGTGGGCGCCCTGGGTGGGAGCAGGTCGTGGCTGCCACCTTCCTGGCAGCTCTGGCTGAGCAGCCGCCGCAGCATCTGATTCTCCTTCAGGAGGCGCACCTGCTTCTTCAGGTCTGCGTTCTCGCTCAGAAGCCGGCTCATCAGCTCGCCGCCCTCAGCCATGGCGGGCGCGTCCCTCCTCGTCCCTCACGGCTCCTGCAGCCCCATGGAGGTGGGAGCCCAGAGCCCGCAGGCACCACAGAAACAGCCCAGGCACGGAGTTCCGTAGCCACTGCTGCCTTCTGCGCCTTGTGATGTCACTGCCCTAGTGATGAGGTGCCCGGCACCCCCGCCTGACCCGGCGATGGCTCGTGGCCCCGTTGAGGCCGTGAAGCTGGAGGCCCGTGGTGTGCACAGGCAGCCACTCCCACACCACGACCGGGGCCGAGAATGCCAAGGACATGAGGCAGGTACGGGATGTCGGGACTGCACTCCAAGGGGGCGTCCAAGCCCCTCTCCAGTGAGCGGTCCAGCCAGGGTTGGGCGTCCACCCTGTGTGGAGTCCTCAGGCTGGGTGGGGACGCTGCCTTCACCTGAGGAGCACGTGGGCTGCACTTCCCACAGGACCTGCCCAGGACACAGGGATCCCAGTGCAGTTTCCTGTGGGCCCCAGCACCCAGGGTGGCATCTGGTGTGCAGGTGTTCATCAGGGCCCATCCTTGGCACCCACATTTGAGAAAGGAGGGGCTGGTGAGGGCAGCTGGAGGAGACCAGTCTGGGGAGGAGACCAGCCTGCGGGGAGACCAGCCTTGGGGTGAGACCAGCCTCGGTGGGGAGACCAGCCTGGAGGGGAGACCAGCCTTGTGGGGAGACCAGCCTGGGGAGGAGAGTAGCCTGGGGAGGAGAGCAGCCTTGGGGGGAGACCAGCCTGGGGAGACCAGCCTAGGGAGACCAGCCTGGGAGACCAGCCTTGCGGTGAACCAGCACCATTGGGAGAACCAGCCTGGAGGGGAAACCAGCCTTATGGGAACCAGCCTGGGGAGGAGAGCAGCCTGGGGAGGAGTAGCCTGGGAGGCAGCCTTGAGGGGAGACCAGCCTGGGGAGAACCAGCCTGGGGGAGACCAGCCTGGGGAGACAAGCAGGGAGACCTGGGGAGACCAGCCTGGGGGTCCCAGTCTTGTGGGGAGGGCCGGCCTGGAGGGGAGACTGGCCTGGGAGACCGGCCTGGAGGAGACTGGCCTGGGGGAGACTGGCTGGCAGGAGACCACCTGGGAGGGCTGGCCTGGCAGGAGACACCTGGGGAGGAGACCAGCCTGGGGAGACCAGCCTGGGGGCAGCCCACCATGGGCCCCACGATTGGCCCCACATGCTGAGGCGCTGGGTGGCCCTGAGGCTGGGCTGGAGGCCACCTGCTGAAGCCTCACTCCCCAATAGAAGGTCAACAGTGCCTGTCCACCCCTTGGACCACGGCGCCCCATGTCTAAGACACACCAATTGTTCTGACTGCACTGCTGCCTGCACCTGGCAGGGATGGCCCCAACCCATGGCCATGGCCTCGGGCCGTCAGGCAGGGCTGTGGCTCTGAGGTCCTGCTAGAGCAGGCGTCTGTCCTCAGTCCAGTGTGACCATCTTGAAACCCAACCTGACTCCCTGCTTCTCCAATTACTTGGGAAAGTAAATCACCTTAGTGTTGTTTCTTGGCTCCGAGAGTCTCATTTTATCAGCAGCCGGGATGCAACGGAAGGTCATCTCATCCTTGTGGGAGGACATAGTCCAGAAAACCACGACCCACTGGGCAGCCCACCTCCAGCCCTGTGACAGGCACCCACCACCACACCAACCCAGTGGGCAGCCCACACCTCAGCCCTGTAGTGACGGGCACCCACCACCACCAGCCCAGTGGGCCGGCCACACCTCAGCCCTGTGACAGGCACCCACCACCAGCAGTGGGCCGGCCACACCTCCAGCCCTGTGATGGGCACTCAGGACCACCCACAACCCAGTGGGCCAGCCACACCTCCAGCCCTGTGTGGGCCTCACGTGCAGGCGCCCCAAGAGAACACCACCTTCATTCAGCCTGAGGCGGCCACATTAGGGGAGCGTTGCTTCCAGGAAAGAGTAGCCTGGGGAGGAGAGCAGCCTTGGGGGGAGACCAGCCTGGGGAGAGACCAGCCTGGGGGGAGACCAGCCTGGGGGGAGACAAGCCTTGGGGGGAGATCAGCCTGGGGGGAGACCAGCCTGGGGGAAGTCCAGTCTTGTGGGGAGGAGACCGGCCTGGAGGGGGAGACTGGCCTGGGGAGGAGACCGGCCTGGAGGGGGAGACTGGCCTGGGGGGGAGACTGGCCTGGCAGGGAGACCACCCTGGGGAGGAGACTGGCCTGGCAGGGAGACCACCCTGGGGAGGAGACCAGCCTGGGGGGAGACCAGCCTGGGGCAGCCCCACCATGGGCCCCACGATTGGCCCCACATGCTGAGGGGCGCTGGGTGGCCCTGAGGGCTGGGCTGGAGGCCACCTGCTGACCTCACTCCCCAATGAGAAGGGTCCAGCAGTGCCTGTCCACCCCTTGGACCACGAGCGCCCATGTCTAAGACACCAATTGTTCCTGACTGCACTGCTCCTGCCTGCACCTAACTGAGGATGGCCCCAACCCATGGCCATGGCCCCTCGGGCCGTCAGGCAGGGCTGTGGCTCACAGGGTCCTGCTAGAGCAGGCGTCTGTCCTCGGTCAGTGTGACCATCTTGAAACCCAACCTGACTCCCTGCTTCTCCAATTACTTGGGAAAGTAAATCACCTTAGTGTTGTTTCTTGGCTCCGAGAGTCTCATTTTATCAGCAGCCGGGATGCAACAGAAGGGTCATCTCATCCTTGTGGGAAGGGACATAGTCCAGAAAACACGACCCACTGGGCCGGCCACACCTCCAGCCCTGTGATGGGCACCCACCACCACCAACCCAGTGGGCCGGCCACACCTCCAGCCCTGTGACGGAGCCACCACCACCAACCCAGTGGGCCAGCCCACACCCTCCAGCGTGACAGGCACCCACCACCAACCCAGTGGGCCGGCCACACCTCCAGCCCTGTGATGGGCACTCAGGACCACCCACAGCAGTGGGCCAGCCACACCTCCAGCCCTGTGACGGGCACTCACGTGCAGACGCCCCCAAGGAGAACACCACCTTCATTCAGCCTGGGCGCACATTAGAGGGCGTTGCTTCCAGGGAGAGAGTCTGAGTCAGGCTTTGGAGAATGGAGGTTGCTATACCCCAAACGTTCTGACACAACCCAGCCCGCCTGGGGCACCCACCACCACCAACCCAGTGGGCCGGCCACACCTCCAGCCCTGTGACAGGCACCCACCACCAACCCAGTGGGCCGGCCACACCTCCAGCCCTGTGATGGGCACTCAGGACCACCCACAACCCAGTGGGCCAGCCACACCTCCAGCCCTGTGACGGGCACTCACGTGCAGACGCCCCCAAGGAGAACACCACCTTCATTCAGCCTGGGCGGCCACATTAGGGGAACGTTGCTTCCAGGAGAGAGTCTCGAGTCAGGCTTTGTGGAGAATGGAGGTTGCTATACCCCAAGCGTTCCTGACACAACCCAGCCCGCCTGGCTGCACCACAGGGCTCACACCTCAGATCAAGACAACGGGGGCCCAGACACAGCCCACTGACGAGGGCATGCCCCTGCACGTCCAGGATGCAGGGCAGAGAGAGAAGTGAGGAGTGAGTCACAGATGCGCCCCCCACTCTGAGCCCGACGGGGCCCTGAATGGCTTTTCCTGTTGTGGCTCCTCCCATCATATTTTAAATGCCATCTTCTTCCCGCTCCAAGGAAGCCTTCTCCTGACATCACGTACTCTCCAGCCACGGACCTATCAACACTCTGACAGTTTTCTGATCTTGACACATTATCCTTTTAATATAGCACTGGATTCAATTTATTAATATCTTAAGTATTTTTATGCTCACAGGGGAACTCCTTTTCTTGTGATGTCTTGGTCTGGCTTTGGAACACTGGCCTTTTAAAATCAGCCGCAGGGGTTCCATGCCATTTTCTGGGTGTTCCTCCTTTTTTTTTTTTTTTTTTTTTGAGACGGAGTCTCGCTCTGTCGCCCAGGCTGGAGTGCGGTGGCCGGATCTCAGCTCACTGCAAGCTCCGCCTCCCAGGTTTACGCCATTCTCCTGCCTCAGCCTCCCGAGTAGCTGGGACTACAGGCGCCCGCCACCTCGCCTGGCTAATTTTTTGTTGTTGTTGTTGTATTTTTTAGTAGAGACAGGGTTTCACCATGTTAGCCAGGATGGTCTCGATCTCCTGACCTCATGATCCGCCCGACTCGGCCTCCCAAAGTGCTGGGATTACAGGCTTGAGCCACCGCTCCCGGCCGGGTGTTCCTTCTTAAACGTCGGATAGAATTCACCTGTGAAGCTATCTAGACCTAGATTTCCTCTGGGAAGGTTTTAAATTTCTAAATCAATTTATTAAAAGACACAACGCTACTGACAGTTTCTATTTTTCCCTCATGTGCATTTTGCTGACAATTGTGGCCGTCAGGTAGTTTGTCCGTTTCCTGTGGTTGTGGAGCCCGGGCATCAAGCTTTACAACCCACAAATTCTAATGTCATATTTTTATTCTCATTCAACTTGAAATATTCTCTGGTTTCCTTTGTGCTTTTGTCTTTTTCAAGACTGTTTTTAGAGGAGTTTTAGGTTCTCAGCAACATTGAGAGGAAGGTACAGAGATTTCCCCACTCTCTGCCCCAACAAATGCACAGCCTCCCCTATTATCAACGTCCTGCACCAAAGTGGTACCTTTTTGAGACAAGGTCTCGCTCTGCTGCCCAGGCTGAAGGGCAAGTGGCATGATCACGGCTCACTGCAGCCTCGAATTCCTGGGCTCAAGAGATCCTCCTGCCTCAGCCTCCCAAGCAGCTGGGCCTACAAGTGCACACCCCCACACTCAGAATTTGTCACGGCTGATGAACCTACATGGACACATCACCACCACCCAAAGCCCACAGTTTACAGTGGGGCTCACTCTCAAGGCTGCACATTCTCTGGCTTTGGACAAATGTATGATGACCTTATCCACCGTCAGTGTCAGGCCGGAGCAGTTTCATTGCCCTAAAAATCCTCTGTACTCTGCCTGTTCACCCCTCCCCCGGCCCTGACCTCCGGCAACCGCTGACTTTTTACTGTTTCCACAGTTTTACCTTCGAGAGTGTGATCTAGTTGGAATCACAGTATGCAGCCTTTTCAAACTGCCTTTTCCACTTACTAATAGGCACTTAAGGGTCCTCCGTGTCTCTTCATGGCTTGATAGCTCATTTCCTCTTAGTGCTGAGTAATATTCCACGGTCTGGCTGCACCGCAGTCTACTCACTCATTCACCTACGGAAGCACATTTTGGTTGCTTTCACATTTGGGCAGCTATGAATAAACAGCTATCAGCCTCTGTGTGCACATAGCTTGTGTGTGCAGGTGCTTGTGTGGACTCCTTTGGGTAAACACCAAGCAGTGCAATTGCTGGATAGATGGCGAGAATGTTTAGTTTTGTCAGAAACCACCAAGCTGTCTTCCATAGCGGCTGTGCCTACCCAAGTTATCAAAAGGAAAAAAAACGAAATTAAAAAAAAAAAAAAAAAAAGGTGGCTGCCCATTTTGCATTCCCACCAACAGTGAGTTCCTGTTACTCCACGTCCTCACCAGCATTTGGTGGTGGTAGTGTTCTGGATTGTGGCTACTCTAATAGGTATATTGGTCATTTTAATTTGCATTCCCCTGATGATATATGATGTGGAACATCTGTTCATATGCTTATTTAACAACTGGGTATCTTCTTTGGTATAGCATCTGTTAAGGTCTCTAGCCCATTTTTTAACCAGGTTGTTTTATTGTTGGGTTTGAAGCACTCTTTTGGATACTGATCCTTTGTGTTTTTCAAATATATTCTCTCAGTCTCTGACTTGTCTTTTCATTTTCTTGACATTCTTTGCAGAACAGAAACTTTGTTTAATTAATGTATTTTATTGAGACAGGGTCTCACTCTGTCACGCAAGTTAGAGTACAGCGGCGCAATCACAGTTCACTGCAGCCTCAACCTCCCAGGCTCAAGCAATCCTCCCACCTCAGTGTTCCAAGCAGCTGGGACAACAGGCATGCACCACCACGCCTGCCTCATCTTTTGATTGTTTTGTACAGATGGGGTTTCACTATGGTAGCCAGGCTGGTCTCCAACTCCTGGGTCCAAGTGACCCTCCCACCTTGGCCCCTCAAAGTGCTGGAATTACAGGCGGGAGCCAAAAATGTATCATGTTAATGAAGCCCAACCTATTGATGTTTTCTTTTGTGGATCATGCCTTTGGTGTCATATCTAGAGTCACTGCCAAACCCAAGGTCACCTAGATTTCCTCCTACGTGATGTTCTAGGGGTTTTATAGTTTTATGTTTTACATTTAGGTCTCTGATTCATCTTGAGTGTGTCTAGATGTGAAGGGTATATCAAGGTTCATTTTTTTTTTTTACAAATGAAGTTTGGTTGTTTCAGCATCATTTGTTGAAGGCTGTCCTTTCTCCATTGAACTGCCTTTGCTCCTTTGCCACTGACTTTCAATTTGGTTTGACTCCACTGTGGTGGGGAAGGATGCTCTGTATGACTCCCATCCTTGCTGACATCCTGAGACTCAGCTCCTGAGCCAGCTATGGTCTACCTTAGCACATGGGCCCCGAGCTCTTGAAAAGCTGTGTGCTTTACCACTG